ATATATTCTTGGGCTCCAGTGTTAGAAAATCTGATTTATTAGACCTTGGGTAGGGTTCAGAAATATGTATTTGCAATACAGACCGGGATGATTCTGCAGTGTGTAGTTACTTGGGAGCCATTGATAGGTCTATAGGAGAAGTAACTACCTCTAGAGCCCCATCCCTCACCTGCAGCTTAGTGGCCAAGATGGAGAACTCAGACATGCAGATTCTCAGACCATGTTTTTGTTTGTTTGTTTTTAGTCATAAAAGAATCAATCTTTGAAATTAGTAACACTGTCAAATAAGTCATAGAACTAAATGTTTAAAAAAGAAATCACCTTAAACTTCTGTTGAAAAAAACTTTTGACCTTGATAAATAATCCTGTAATATAATAAAGGTAAACATGGATTTTAAAAAATTAAAATGTCTTTAACTTATGTCTTCAACATGTGGCTGAACTTGAAAATAGTAAAAAAAAAATGATTTAATTATATCTAAAAAGAGTCCTTTTTCCAAATGAAATAATTCTCTAGGTTCTAAGGATTAGCATACAGGCATGTGTTGTGGGGCCACATGCAACACACTACAGCCTGTCACTGGCAGTGCTTTTATCCCTGGCACCAAGTTCTGAATTGGGCAGAATGCACTGAGCAACAGAAAAAGCCAACTCACAATGGGTTAAACAACAAAGAGGAAGGGCTGGACCAGCAACCGAATGATGGAATCAAGGCTGTAGGTTCTTTCTACTTCTTTGCTCTGCCACTTCACAGCTTTAGCTTCATCCTTTATTACTGTAGAATGAACGTCAGTGGCAGTGGGCATGCCAGGCTTCCTTACTGTCAACTCACAGGAGAAGAGAGAGTTGCTTTTCCAGGGCAGTCAAGATGGAGGAAGGTGCCTTCCCAGAGCCCTCAGGAAGGCTCCTTGAATTCCACTGACCCTCACTGGCTTAAGCTAGTCCATCCATGAACCAGTCACTGACAAATGGGGAGGTTGCTATGACTTGCTTGGATTAGTGATAGGATAGAGTGGGAATTTAGGGAGTCAGTCACAATGCTTACTGCCCAGAAAAATTAAAAATTCACACCTGTATGCTATTGACAGGGTTGAACAAAGGTCAAAAATAAGTTTTCTTTGTTGAAGACACAAAAACTTTTAGTAGGGAAAAACTACAATTAGATAATATTCCTAGATATTAGTCTTAGTTACTTTTCTTGTTGCTAAGACAAAATACCCAAAGTTAAAGGAGGGGAGATTTATTTAGCTCACAGTTTGTAGAGATTTCAGCCCATCACTGGTTGGCTCCAAGGCAGAGTGGCCTGGCAGAGGGGAATTGCAGAGGAGAAGCAGTTCATGGTGGACAGAAAGTAGCAAAACAAACAAGAGATGACCACAGCTTTTTCTAGCCCTTATATCTTATCCAGGCTACTTAGGGCAGGTAACCCCTTTAATTCTAGTGCCCTAGCATTGCACCATGAATCAATTCCGGTATCACACACTCTAGATCCAGCCACCTCTGAAAAAGCCCCATGTGTGACTACATGAGGCTTTAGGGGGACATCTAAACACAAGGCATAATAACATTGATGTACACTTTTCCATTGCTCCTTGTTTTTAAATTTCCCCTTTCCCCACTCAAGTAGGTGGCCAATTTGACACGTTACCTAAGGTGAGACATTTGACAGAATATATGAGTTTCCTGCCCTTTTGTCAGCTTTAGTTTCTCCCAACCCTACTATCTTTAAATAAATTACAGAGTTTGGGGAATGAAGCAAAAGGGAATGTTATTTGTGAGTGTCCCCAGTATTTCAGATAAGCAGGGTCCTTCCCCTAAGACAAGGAGATTAACTCTGGCTCATGAGAGAAAAGGGTGAGCTTTGGAGTTTCCAGAGCAGAGGGGACTTTCGGAAGCATTCTGAAGAAATGGCAAGATTCAGGGAAGTAACAGCCCCATTGTGTGTTTAGGTAGATGAATCTGAATGAACTCAGATTTATGTGTCCAATCAGTCTTGGCAAGAAGACGTAGAGGCATGTGGACTGGGATAGCAGACATTTAAGTGGTAATCTGTGAAGTAGACCTTTTTTGATCTGAAGGTCAGCCCTCCACCTCATTACTGATAGTTGAAGTATTTTTAAAATTTATAAGCTGAGGGTCATAACTGTTTCAGTGTTATATTTCAGTTCATTTCATGTCAGGACTATGACATTTCTTGTATAGCTCTTATATTTTCCTAGAATTTTAAGTTGTCTTTTCTTTCTTGTGCATTTATTTAGCTTTTTAATCAGTTTATGTCCACATTTTATAAATTAGGTGAGTAGTAATATGATTTACATTTAAAAAGGAGCACTGTGGGAGATCACATTGAGGGGGCAATGGAGGAAACAAGGAGACCCACAAGGAAGCAATTATATAATCAGGTGTTAAGATTTATGGATGTCCTCCAAGGCCTATGTGCTCATAGGTAGGGCTTTTGAAGGCTGATTGAATCACAAGGGTGCTCCAGCTAAACGTGACATTAGAAGGTGGGGGCTGGTCAGAAGAGGTGATCACTGGAGGCTTGACCTAGCAGGGTGTATCACCGGCCTGACTCCTAGTCTCCTTCTGCTATCTGGCCAACGTGATGTGAGCGGCTTCCCTCTGCCCAGGCCCTTCCACCAAGCCATTTTGTGTTTAAGCCTCCCAAACATGGATTGAAACTTCTGAACCGTGAGACAAAATAAACCTCTCTTTCTTTAAGTTATGGGTGTTAGGTATTTTGTTCCAGTGACTAGGAGAGTGACTAAGACACTAGGCAAGAGATGACAGTATTCTGGGGTGAAGTGGAAGTAGCAGGAATGATGAAAATGGATGAAATCATATATATATATATATATATATATTTTTTTTTTTTTAAATCAATCTGTCAAGAAAAATTTATTATGTTCCTTTTACACACCAGGCATAGTTCTAGATTTTGGAGTTACGGTAGGTTTTTTCTTTTCCCTTCAAAGAGTTTATATTTTATTTTTTTCGGCATTGGGAATCGAACTCGGGACCTTGTACTTGCCAGGCAGGAGCGGCACCACTGAGCTAAATCCTTGGTCCAAGAGTTTATATTTTAATAGAGGGAGGAGTTGGGCAGTAGATATAAAATAAAGAAGTGAATAAAATAATTTTATATACTGCTAAGTGTCATAGAAAAGAGAAAATACAGTAATATAGTAAATGACCAGGAAAGCTGCTTATCTTTTTCTTAATCAACATAATTAAGGGAAAATTTACATAAAATCAAATCCATCCATTTAAGCATACAGTTTGGTGAGCTTTAGCGTATGAATATAGCTACCACCACCAGTCAAAAGGTAGACCATCTTTCATCCTGGAAAGTTCCTTGTGTCCACTTGCAGCGAATCTCCCTTCCCTTTTGCTCTGGCTCCAGGCAACCAGTGACAGGCTTGCTATCACCACAGACTTATTTTAAAACTGCTTACCTTTAAAAAGAACTCTTTTTGTGTAGATTTATCTTTCATTATTACTCAACCATCTAATTCACAAAGATATTCAAGTGGTTATTTTTAGTGTATGCAGTGTTTATCTACCTGTGTGTCTTCATTGCTATTATTTTATATAATTCTGTATTCAATGAGCAATAATTTTAATTACTCAATGCACCTTCAAATGGATTGTATCAGTGGGTTTTGAGAATGTACTTTTAGACATAACTTAGTGACCTTGTTAGAGAAAGGATACATTGTAAAAACTGTAATTTGGGGGCCGGGGATATAGCTCAGTGGTTCCAGCACCTGCCTCAAAAGCGCAAGGTCCCAAGTTCGATCCCCAGTGCCAAAACAAAAACACAAACAAAAAAACCCTGTAATTTGGAAGGCTGCTTCAAAATAGATACTTGCTCAGTGGAATACTCTATAAAAATTTTTACAAATTTTCAATCACTTATCTTTTACTACTTGTGATACTAGCATCATCATATAGGTTGTTTTAGAAATGATAGGTAAAATTATGGGGTTTTTTTAATCCATGAGAAATGTAAATTACGTCAGAATTAGTTGTAGATAAATATACGCAATGATGATGATTGTTTTACGAAACTGACAATAAAAATAATCCTATGCATAAAAAAACCAACAAAAATAAAAAGATAGCTTTTGTTGCCACTGGGTTAGAGTGAACTAGATTGGAGGGGCACGGGAGGAGCAAGTCTAGGGGTAGTGAGAGACATGTAACAATGAAATAACTAGTGTTTTCCATACATTCTCCATTTAATTTTATTTAATCTCTGCTACAAGTCCTAGGAAGTCACCCCATTTTATAAATGAGAAAGCTGAGGCTCAGGGAGATTAAGTAATTTGCACAAGATTACACAGCTAATAGGTGGCAGTCAGGACTCCACCCTGTATGTGTATAGCTCACCCACTCTACAATAACAAACACCTCTACACTACTCACTCCATTCCAGGCACTCTACTAAGCACTTTAATCCTCACAGTAATCTGGAAAGGAAAGTATTATTATTCTAGTTTTCATGAGGAGAAACTGAGGCCCAGAGAGGGTCATTACATATCCCATAAACAACTAGCAGATCAGACCCATTGAGTTCTGGAATCTATTCTTTGACACTGTCATTGCTTTATGTCATCTCAGGACCACCCTTGCATGCCCCTATTTGCAGCAGGTTTCTCTGGTCAACAGCTATGCTGAGCTTGTTTCTATTTCCAAGACTCTGAAACCTACCCAGTCTGGCTTGGACCTCTCTTCCAGCTCCTTCTTCATGAAGACAGGGAGCCTCTGTCTTTCAGGGGCCTCCTCTTCTCCTGTCAGAAATGCTTGACTTCCCTCTGAAGGCCAGTACCTAATCTCCAGTACCTTTCTCCCCAAAAGCAAGGGAATACCAGGAGGCTGACTGAGC